CACTAGTGCACAAATAGACAAGCAGATCAGTGGAACATAGATAAAATCAAGAAACAGACCCAAGTATTAAGGAATTTAGTATATTATACAATAAAAGGAGCATTACAACTGGGATAAAGATGAACCTTTTAATAAATGGTGACATACAGCCAATTGGGGGGCGGGGGGAAGGTCCATAACGCATATCACAACCAAAAAGAAATCTAGATGGTAAAAGGTGGCCCAATGGTGATGGAGGGAAATTTGACTTGGGGTGGTGAACATACTATACAACATACAGATGATATATTATAGAATTGTACCCCTGAAACCTACATAATTTTATTAGCCAATGTCATTCCAAAAAATTCAAAAAAATAAATAAATAAATCCAAATATATAAAAGACCCAAAATCAAACAATCAAGTATACATAAAACAATTCAGTATATTCCTCTATATCATCTGGATGTAAGAAAATTATTTCTCTACATTCTGAAGTTAAGGAAAAATGTGACGAATGAATGATAAATATAACCACATAAAACAAAAAAATCTTTTGGATAGCCACCATAATAAAGTCAGAAGACAACTGAAAAACAAAGAGGAAATATTTGCTATATGTATATGTATCACAGCTAAAGGACTAACATATCTAGTACCTCTTAAAACCTGAAGAAAAAAAGATTGAAAATCCAAAAGGCATGAAGCAAAAGTTCACAAGCAAAAAAGAATAATGGCCCTCAAACATACAAAAAGATGGTCAACCTCACTTATAAGAAATAAAAACTAAAACTACAAAAAAGTACAATTTCTCACCTGTGATACTGGCAAACATTTAAAAGTGACAACACATTCTACTGGTAAGTCAGTAAGGACACAGGCCTCTCATACATTACTGACAGGGATTTGGCAATTTCTAACAAAACAACAAGCATTTACTTTTTTTTTAAATTGATTTTAGAGAGAGGAAGGTGGGGAGAGAATGAGAGAGAGAAGCATTGATCTGCTGTTCCAAATATTTATGCATTTACTGGTTGCTTCTTTTTTATTTTAATCCTCACCTGAGGACATGTTTTTATTGATTTTAGAGAGGGAGGGGAAAGAAGGGAGGGAGAGGGAAGAAGAAGGAGGGGGAGAGAGAGAGAAAGAGAGGCAGAGAGAGTCGGAGACACAGCAATGTAAGAGAAATGTCATGCACCAGCTGCCTCCCAGACACATTCCCTGACAAGGGACTGAACCCATAACCTTTTGGTTTAAGGGATGGTGCTCCAGCCAAGCCACCTGGCCAGGGCGAGCTGGCTGCTTTTTGTGTGTGCCCTGACAGGAGACTGAACGACAACCTTGGCATGTAGGGACAAAGCTCTAACTGAGCCACTAGGCCAGGGCCAAATATTTACCGTTTGATCCACCAATCCTACTTTGAGAAGTTTACCATGAACGTACAACCATACAAAAGTACTCATGCACAAGGTTAATAATAGCAGCTTTTAGTAACTGCAAAATATTGGGGGTATTATTAATGTTCATACCTAAGAGATGGGCTAAAAAAAATTACGATACATCCACATAATGAAGTACTAAGCAACTATAAAGAATGAGCAAAATTATTGTTAATTGATAAAGAGTGATTTCCAAGATAAATTAGTAAACAAAAACAAAAAAGCAAAGTGCAAGAGTATCTACAGTATGCCATTGATGTAACTACTGCTTTGTTTACAAAGAAACAAAGGAAAGCTAAACCACCAAAATAATAGGGTTGGTTACCTAGGGGGTGGTTAGGACCAAGACAGAAGGGAGAGAGGGGGATAATACTTCTGTATACACCTTTCAGTATAGTGCTGTCTTTTGCAATAACAAATAAGCAACTAAAATTTTAAAACTTTGGGGGAATAAAAAACTTACAATGAAATAGAAACAAATAAACTTAACTCTTCAAAGAAACCAACCACAATGAAGTGGGGAGGAGAACTACATACCCCAGAGTAATTAGATAAAAAGAACTGTAAAAATATTAAACTCTAGTTTATAAGTTTGTTTTTCACGGAGGTATACATCAGCAATTCTGAAACTACCTTCTGTGTATTCTACAATTGAGGAAGTAAAGACACCATACATAATAGTAGTTTTCTCACTGCTGCAAAAGTGACACGATACACATCACAGCGTGAGGAGACCATAAAAACTGATATATTACACAACACAATCTCCTAATTACTCTATCGTACCCATGGTAACTCCATCAAACTTCACACACTTGACTCCCCTCCTCCTGTCACCCCCCCCAGGACATGCCTCATCTTTCATTTATTTTTAACACCTGTAAAAACCAAGTTTTCTCTCTTTGACTTTCCATGACTGGAATCATTTGTTTCTATTAAAAAGCAAAGAGATGCCCTGGCTGGCGTAGCTCAGTGGATAGAGCTCGGGCTGCGAACCAAAGTGTCGCAGGTTCGATTCCCAGCCAGGGTACATGCCTGGGTTGTGGGCCATGGCCCCCAGCAACCGCACATTGATGTTTCTCTCTCTCTGTCTCCCTCCCTTCCCTCTCTAAAAATGGATGAATAAAATCTTTAAAAAAAGAAAGTAAAAAAAAAAAGCAAAGAGATAATTAACAACACACTTTCAGATTTGAAGTCATATAGTACTTTTTCTATGGAAAATTCATTACTTTCATCTTCTCTATTTAAAGTAAAGCCTGGATTAACTAAACTGTTCAAAGAATGAGCTGTTCAATTTTCTTGTTAAACCAAGATTTAGAAACTCAGTTTAAACATTTTGAAAAAAAAAAATCCTAAAACATATTTTCCAAAATAATATAGTACATAGGATACAGGACATGGATAATGTATTGTCTAAAAACTTAGGACTTCCCAGTGTCTCCAGATTATTTGGTTATTGTAGTTAAATGCAGAAGTGGCCCAGCAAGAGGCTGAGAAGTTGCTGTTTTGAATAAGCTCTGAAGTTGTTGCCTCATATACAAAATAAAGGTATTACCCTGCATGACAGCTTGACATGGTTAGAAAACTCAGATTACTGAACACCGTGCTGGATGGTTTATTGTTGACTACACATTACTGCCATTACTTTTAAGGTCTTCCTTGCATTGCAAAAGAAAAGAAATGAACATTTCCAGATTTCCCTCTGGAGGCTGTTGTAGGTACATAGTTGGGCAGATGAAGCAGCTTCCAGGCGGGTAGTTTCTTGACAACCACCCATTCTGTTGCAACAAACCTGGAGAGTTCTTAAGGTTTCCAGTGAACTCTGAGAAATCAACCAACTTCAATGCTTCAGGCTGAAATAATCAGTGACAGCTTCCCTAATTCCCTGAACCCTTCCAAAAATTATATAAGCCTTTAATTCCCTGTGTTAAAATCCTAGTGCTTGAAATTCACTGGCTTCTGTTTTCCTAATCAAACTCTTGTTACTGGTAACTGACTCTAGGTGTGTGAAAATACTCTATAAACTGAAAAACACATACAAAAGCATGGATTATTATTTCTATTCCCACTGGTAGGAAATTTCGATTGAAGTTGTTTTCTGGTAATCAGCCTCCTTTTAGACAAATCAATACATCCAAAATAAAGCTTTCCTTCTACAAATCAATAAAACTTTTCCTTACTACAAAACCCAGCTCTCTACCTAACTTCATTCTCCAATTAATGATCCAATCAATCAAAGTATGTTTACTAAGCAAGGCATTACACTAGGTACCAAGAGATTCCCCAGGTAAGAGTTTATAATAGACAAGCATAACAGAGACATAATATTCATAATATAACTTACATATTAGGAGCCACCATGTGATGGTGGGTAAAAGAAAGGAGGGAATTAAATTTGACTTGGGAGTGAAAAAGTAAAAATAAAGTAAGGATTTAATGAAGAAGAAAATTAAAGAGCGAAAAGGTAAAAGTCAAAAGGATTTAAAGAAGAAGAGAATTTAAAGGTTGCAAGTAACTGAAGAAAGCACGCTCAACAAAACAAAGCTAGCGACTCAGGAACATGTATAGAGAACAAAGGCATGTAATACATAGCGGCTTATTCCTGGAGTGTATACTAAGGAGGGAAGACTGAGTCCAAATAATAGAAGGTCAGAAAGGCTAAACATCTGGACTGTATTACTATTATCCATCTTCAGATTCACAGAGAGATTTATAAAATTTTATGCCTAGATAATAAAATCAGACTGCTAATATACTCCCATGACTAGAACCTAATAACACAAGATCTAAGTAGAGAAAAGAAGCTGATCTTACTGAATTCCTGTTTTACCCTAATCCTCTTCTGCTCAAAAACTTGCAATAACTTCTAAATGCATACTTTTATCAAGTGCCTCAATACCATAGTCCCTCCCCATCCTATTCAACCATATTTTCAACCATTGCCCAAAATACACAACTTTTTCCAGTTAGGCTATTTTCTGTATGTACTGGCCCTTGAGCACAGCAATAAAACAGGTATCTCTCTCTCCCTCTTCTTATAAAGCCACCAGCCCCACTGGATTAGGGACCTACTCTATGACCTAATTTAACTCTAATTACCCCCAAAAAGACCCTTTCTCCAAATATAATTGTATCAGGTATTAGAGCTCTAATGTACAAATTTAGGGAGGGACACAAACATTTACTCCATATCACACAGGGTTATTTCTGAGGCTAGACCTTAAGAGATCTTACATATTTGCTCTTGCTAATACTAATACCTCTTGAAATACTTCCTCCATCATTTGAAAAAGCCCAGCCCAGCCTACTGGAGGATGAGAAGCCACAGAAGGACTAAGTACCCCAGACAATAACCAACAGCCAGCACCAAATGGCAGACTGGGGCCACAGTGGACCATCTAGTTTCAGTCAAGCTATCATCAGGTTAACTACAGAAGTGGCCCAAATGAGAATAGCAAAAGAACTGCCAGCTGAGCTCAGTCAAAATTATAAAATCATGAGAAAATAAGGGACTGTTGCTTTAGGTTACTAAATTTGGGAATTGTGTGTTACAAAGCAATAAATATCTGATATGGCATACCTTCTTGTTCTGCTTTTTGACCTAGATCTCTGAACTCTGTAGGATTTCCCTCGACCCCTTGAACGACTTCGACTTCGTTTTCTTCTAGAGCCATAAGAAGAGCTACTGCTTGATCGATGCCTGCGTCTGAAATACAATATAGTCAAATATCATTGCTATTTAAAAAAAGTGTATGAGCATTAAGGACAAATCATCCAGATTCTAAAAAAAGTCTCATTTTTACTGTCTTACACCTTCCTAAAAGCAAAGAGAGACAAAGCATTACTCCTCTTGAACAGTCAGATGACTGATTTCATAATTTAGTGATTGAATCAGGTACAAATTAAGATTTTAGGGGTGTTAAGTAGTATACAATCCTTCCATATATTACCAGATAATATTGTAGAATATAAGTACTGTACTAGTAGACAATATAGAGAACTAAAGAACTAGTAGAGCTATATACTAGTAAAACTACTAGTAGAACTATATACTAGTATACTACTTGTCTACAAAGAATAGACAAAGGAGGGAAACACTGAACTCATGGGCTGGGCCTGGAAAAAAGAAAAGCACCTCTGGGTTGGTACTAAACCCTCATAAATACTTAACTACTACAATAAAAAGGTTTTACCCAGAAAAATTCAAAGTACAAAAATTTAAGAACTCTCAATTAGAGAATGTCATCTTATTACTATATAAGTAAAAATTATGAACGGCACCTTCTATCATAAGAATGTGAGCGAGGCTGAATATCTCTGGACCAAGATCTTGACTTTGACCTTGATTTCCTTCCACCTTTCCTTCGGCTATATGTCCTACTATCTGAAGAACTACTTGAAGATGACCGTCTACGGTGTTTCTTTTTTCTCTTGCTTCTGCTTTCTTCTTCAGTATCTGATGAACGACGTCCCATTTCTACAAGTTTAAATTCAAAGAAAATTATTACTAACATATGGTACCATAGATGAAATTTAATACAGTAATTTTTTAAACTTTATAAAAATTTTTTAAGTCTTAAAGTAGAATTTTAAATGTACCTGGCTTCTTGATGGAAGTATGAGAAATAGCTCTATTACAGTCTTCTAAGATATCAACTGTTTTTATAATTTATGAACAACTTAAATTTGTCCTAAATTTTTTCAAATGTCTCTCAAAGGAATCAATCCTGAGGACAGCTCATTATAACATTTTCTTACATTTTAAGTTGTATCAATCTAATTATATAATATCTTGTTTTGATATGAACTACCTAATCATTCATTTAAATATTCCCTAAAGATAAAACATATTTCACTATCTTTTAGACTTACATTTTTCTAACTGAAAATTCTAAATGTTTAAATGGATAACAACCCATTAGTCATCAATAAAGTAAAAAATGAAAGAATATACTACCATCATTTAACTTGTGAAATTTGGGAGAGGAAATGTTAACTTAAGTACCAGAGTTAATGAGGTTCTAGTGAAGTCAGTCAACTCTTCACACTGCTAGTATCTAAATAAAGTGGTGGTATAATCCTTCCAGAAAGCAATTAATAATTTACATAAATTATCATAAAAATATTGATGCTTTTTTGACAGAGCAATTCTACTTCTAAGAATGTATTTGAAAAGTTTTTCTTAAAAAAAAAGACAATTACGAAGACATCCATTATACCATTATTAAAACTATTATCTATAGAGACAGTTTAAAAATATGTACAAAAATAAGGGCAAAAATAAAAACTGATAATATTTAATGATGAAACTGGGAAAATTTTTAACTATTTTCTATATGGTTATGGTAATATCTATACATTTAGTATACAAAAAGAAAAAATGTACAGAACTAAAATGTAAGGTTTTTATATTTAGGAATTACCTTAGCTGGTAACAAACTCATCTTACTTTAAAGCAAACCTTTAGATTCTCAAATGCAATCTTTTTTATTTTTACTGACAGTTACTAGCTATCTTTCAATTTCATATAAAAGGAAGATCCATCCTATTAGTGGTTAAGATTTAAGTGGTTAATGGATCAGATAAACAGAAATCTCTCACTTTCCTTTAATATTCATTCAAAATAAGGTAAATACCATTACTTTAAACAAAGCAGTACGATAAACTACAGTACAGTTTTGAGAACCGTCAGGTGAACCCTCTCCTCCCTGACTCCAATTGAAAACTGCTGTTAGGATTGGATTCCAAACTTCATGCTCTTTACCTAGAGCCAGAATTAGATTTCAATATAGTTCGGAACCTCCGAGATGTTCACATTCCTACCATTTCACAGTTCAACAAAACATTGAGAAGGCTTGATTTTTAAACTTTCAGTAAATCACTAGCTTATCTAAGCCAGTTTCCTCATTGGAAAATGAAACTGCGCTGAATAAAAGATCACCATGATCCTTTCCAGCTTCAAAATGCTATGATTGTGAAATTATGGCTTTACTTAGTATATATGTACATATATACATACATTTAAACATGTGTATATAACACTCACATTGGTAGCCAGATATCCATTATATAACCATGGTTGTGTGTGTGTGTGTGTGTGTGTGTGTGTGTGCGTGTGTATTTATTTCCATTACGGAATGTGTACATAATTGAGTGATAATGGTCATCCAAGTGTTCTTATTTCCTGGCTTTTTCTTACATTGTTGTTTTCACTTTTACGCAGTTAAAATTTTTCTTTACTCACACATAACCATTTAACATGAGCTTTTACGTTCTCATTATCTTGTTAAAAATACTAAAATGAGAATAAAAAATAAAAACAGTATAAATTCACAAGGATACAGAGATTACAGGAGAAGACAAGATTCGTCAACAAATTTTTAGCAAATGAAAAACAGATGGAGAATTTAGAGCTAAGAGAGCTGAACATCAAGCAACTGCAGATAATTCCAACAAGAGAAAAGCCAATTTACATAGCAAAAATCAGAAAGCATCAGAAATTTAAGACACGTTACCACAGTGGGTACAAGGAGGCACAGAACTCAAAAACAAGGGAACTGATTAAAAGTCTATACAAAGGGAGTAACCTCCCAGGCCCCCTTCCCCATTCAACCCAGACAAGTGACTACTCATCCCCAGTCCCAGGAGCAGTGATGGACTTGGGGAAAATGACAGAACAATAAAGCACCAGGTCCCGGGCCACAGTAAAAGAGGACAGAGAGATGCTAAATTTTAAAAAGTTAAAGGAAGTACATGAAAATCTACAGCTAATGGTAAATACTGTAGCCCGCCGTGTGCCTGGATCCAAGATTTCCAGCAGAGGATTCATCTAGGCAAAAACTGAACAGTACCCGAAAAGGTATACTATAAATATTTCAAGGTACCCCCCAAAACAGCCAGGCTCTCACCCAATCACCCTATTAACTACCACACCAGTTAATAAGCCCAAACCTTAAACTTTTTTCTGTAAACTATTTTTCTCTTAACTTTTTAGTGATTATACAAAAAAGGGTAACCAATCACACAACAAAAACCTTCATCATAAGAGACAGAAACCAAAACAGAAAGAAAAAAAGCAACTCATAGTAAATCAGGAACATGCAGAAGAAAACTTCAAAGAAGAGTATCCGTTTTTTCCTCAAAAACATATTAAGTAGATGATCCAGCTAACACAATAGGAGGAACATCCGTACAACAGGAGAAAAAGCTTGAAATTTAAACAAATGGTGATTTGTAAAAAAAAAAAAATAGGATCAGATGGTAAATTGAAATGACTCACAGAAAGTATATGGTAAGAAAAAGATTAAAAATAGGAGGTAAAATCCCTGGGGCAAAGAATTTAAAAAGACATACACCAGACATATCTCACAGAAATTCAGACACCAGGAATATACAGAAGATCCCAGAAGCTTCTAAAGAGAAAAATATGGGGAAATCTCAATAAAAGGCATTGAACTTCTAAATAGAAATATAGAAAAACAACAGGGACTTGCCTTCAAAATTCTAAGTGGAAATGCTTCTCAACCTAAAATCTATATCCAGCTCAATCATTGATCTGAGATCAGAATAAAGACATTTTCAAATACGCAAAGTCTCAAAATTATACCTCACAGTCCACCAAAAGCAAACAGTAAACCAACAAAGACAAGCCAGACTGAAAGAAGTACTTTCACAGTAGAGATAGGCAAAACACCCCAGGATGATGGCAGGCCTAGGTACAAGGGATAGATCAGTGAATGAGACAAAAACCCTTGACATCAAGAAGTTTACGTGCTAGTATAAAAGCAGTCCTCAATATGGGGTCAGTTGACCCCTGAGGATCCCGAGGCCCCTTCAGGGGATCCAAGAGGTCAAAACTGTTCTCATTATACTACTAAAATATGATTTACCTTTTCACTGTGCTGACTTTTGTACTGATGATATAAAGGCAATAGTAGGCAAAACTGCTGGTGCTTTAGCAGTGTTAAGGCAATGGCACCAAACCGTGCTAGCAGTCACTGCATTCTTCATAGCAATAGTCTAAAAAAATGGGGGGTGGGAGGCAGTTCACTTGTTCACTTAAGAGTGTCCTTGATGAAGCAGCAAAAATCATTAATTTTATTAAATTTCAACCATTGAGCACACATCTTTTAATATTCTGTGATAAAATGGGAAATATACATAACTGCTTCTACATACTCAAGAGTAATGGTTATCTTGAGAAAAGGCACCTGTGCAACTGAATTGCAAGTTGAACTAGCTGCTTTTATCATGAAACGATACAAATTTCATACAATTTTTGAAAAAATTTCACACAATTTTTATTTTAAAGAATTGTGATTACTCAGGCTTGCGTATTTGGTAGACATTTTCTCCAAATGAATGTGGTCTTTCACTCCAAGGAAAACTGACATTATTTGCTGTCAATGATAAAATTTGAGTTCTCAAGCCAAAATCTGAATTTTAGATAACTTGTATCTGCTACCATGAGCCTGACAGCTTTCCAGTACTTAAAAGATGTCTCTGATAAGATCAGAGGTGATATTAACAAATGATATTTTTAAAAATATTTTATAATGAAGGGTATCAATATTTGGAAGATATGCATAACTCAAAGAACCAATATTTTCCAGCCAGTCAATGCATGATGTCACAGAATCATGTATGGGTAAAACAGCCATTCAGAATGCAAGACAAACTTAAGATTTTAACATAATAGAGTATGAAAAGGCCACTGATATGGTTTCAAACACCACATTACAACCGACCTTTAACAAACTACTACTTGTCAAGTTTTGGTGTAATATCAAAGAATTATCTGAAAAGGCCATTAAAATATTTCTCCCTGAAACTAATATAACATTGGGCGTTAAATATACCTTAATAAAAAAAATACTTTTCCACCCAGACCAGTGTGGCTCAGTGGATTGGGCACTGTCCCACAAACGCTGGTTCAATTCCTGGTCAGGGTACATTCTTAGGTTGCAGGGCAGGTCCCCAGTTGTGGGCATGTGAAAGGCAACCAATCAGTGTTCCTCACTCACATCCATGTTTCTCTCCCTCTATTTCTCCCTCCCTTCCCCTCTCTCTGAAAATAAATAAACCTAAAAAAAAAAACCCCACCACATGTGACTACAAATTTTCTTCATATACCTCAATCCAAACAACTCATCATAATAGAGTGAATGAAGCAGATAAAAGAATGCAATGGTCTTCTATTAAGTCAGACAGTAGGGATTCGCAAAAAAGTGAAAATAATGCTACTTTTTTCACCAAAAATGTTTTGTTTTGAAAAATATATTTTTCATATCAAATTTGTTATTTGAGTTATCATATAATGAGGTTATTGTTATTTTTAAGTGGATCAATAAACACCTCAAAATTTTGTTTTAATTACTACTAAGGCAATATTTATAGATATAGCCCATGTAGATAAAAGTTCTTGCAGTCTTCAATATTTTTAAGAATGTAGAAACTCTAAAACTAAAAAGTTTGAGACCCACTGCTCTAAGGTAGCTTACAGTCGTTTCCATTCTCCATTTTTGTCCAGCGTATTAAATCCCTATGGAAGACATGAAGAAGTAGGAAAAAAAAGAAACGAACACACATCTAATTATGTAACTTGTTGGTGACCAAGAAAAGAGAGAATGGGAGGGTTGGTATACATTTTTATTTAATTTCAAACAACATAATTCATCCATAATAGACAATTACATTTAACCCAGAAAAGTTAATGGGAGATACAAAATCCTCCCTTATAGGAGCCAAGTAAAACAAGGCTAAAAAACCATTCTCACAAAACTATAAATATTTTTAAGTGATGTATTTACATTTCAGAAAAATTACACCGAAGTACTAATTAATCTCAGTAAGACAAAGCACAAAGTCGCCATATTTTTTATTAGTTACCTTGAAATATTTATTCAGAAAAGGAAGTCCGTATTTCTTTATTAACTTCAAAAATTTTTCAGAAAAGGAAGCAAACACTAAGAGCAAATCAGAAGTATATCCGAAAATTGTCTTCTCTATCAATGACAGGTGCTGAACTCTTTCTTACTCACTGAGATATATACTCGTATACTTATTCTGGAATTCCATAATGTTCCTAGCATGCAGATGAATATATTTGCTCATGCAAGTCATGGTGGTCAATTTATATTTCACACTCCCAGTAATAAAGAACTGTTTATATTTAACTCCATTGGTAAGGTGCAATGCATGCAAAGACACATTAACAGTTCTTTCTGGTAAGAGCAATGATGACTGAGCACAGATTTTTAGAAATACTGTACCACAAGCTCACAATTTTTCAATCAATCTGTAAGCAGAAAAGACATAGGGACAGGACTCCTACAGCTCTTGGTTTCTGTTCTCACTCTAGTCTCTAGTATGTCCTGGTTTGGTCTCATGGTTTCGAACCTTACTCAACTACTTCTACTACAGGACTGAAGCCAAGACAGGTAATGACTACAGTAGGACATTAATTTACAAAAACATCTTATTGCACAGTTTAGGTGACTGATGGAAGATATGGAGCCAAGATATGGTCATTCAGAAGAGAGCTCAAAGGCATACATAAGTACTTCCTTTGTCCAGTTATTAATAAAAGTATAAGAAATAGTAATCTTTTTCAGAAAACAGGCAGTTAAAAAAAACAAATATTCCTAAAGGACATGACAAGTTATAATTATTTCTCTACTAATTCATTAGTATTATCAAACTATAACTTTTTTGATCTTGGACACTTAGCCCAAAAAAAAGGAAAAAGAGCAGTCATTTGAATGGAAAATCCACCTCAGAGATAGAGAAAGATAAAAATGGGGTTAATACTATTTAGCATAAGATGTCCACGAAGAAGTATAGAACCATACAAAGTCAGTAAAAGAACTGGGGTAAAATTTTAGCACAACACGCAGAACAAAGCAACACTCAAAAGAGATAGTTGTCAAAACACTCATCCCATAACAACTAAAAATTTACAGACAAGCATACCGTCTTTGTTTCTTTTTTTTTTTAAAGCTTATTGGTCATGGGACTTTTCCCCAATGGTTTGGTAATGAAAGTAGAAAATATATCTATACATCTAATGTAACACATTCACTACATAAGTTTTGCAATTCATAACACAACTCCTTCCTGAGACTGGTAAAGTTAGTAAGGTAATTAACAGATGCCAGCTGCCTTGAAGTTCATCGGTTTCAAACATTTTTAGCTCTCTTATTGAAGAACATAGAGTAATAAAGTGCTACCACTTAGCAGGAAATCTTTGCCTGCAAAGAAAGTGAATATTTATAGACTCTAAGGCTAGAGGGGCTCCCAAAAGATACCCAGTTTCCCAACAAGGTAGCAACTGGATCACCTGCTCCAGACCTTAAACCTGAGAACTCTGCGTTATCTCCTTCACTTAGAGCTTTTACGTCTAAGTGCAAAGATGACAACTTGAATACTTTTTTGTGACAACACAAGACATCTGAATTTATTTAGCTACCTAGGACCTGTCTAGTTGATTTACAAATAGGTTACTAATTCTGACAATGCAAAAGAAAGGGAGGGAGGGTGAGAGGGAGGAAATTATTAGGCCTCCAGTGTGCATTTAAAAATATATAATCTCTGAGACAGAAATCAACTGAAAGTTGACCTAAAATCAAAAGCAGTCAACATTTGTAGTAGTGCATTATAACCTCTCACCAAAGTAAACAGAGTTTAAGGGTAACCACGTGCTCTTGGTCTAAGTCCACAAGGCCCCAAGTCCTGAAGTCGGGGAAACTGAGTGCTTACAGCTATTACTTTGAGAAAGAAAAGTCTATTTCACTCTGCACCATCTCACCTCTCAGTTAGCCAGTGGGAGCAAGAAGTAATGGGGGTGGGGGGGAGTTGGAAGGAAAAGGGTTCTTAAGTACGGACAGCAGAGTGGGTGGGGCAGGCTGCACCGGGTGGCGATCTTTCTCCCAGCACCATACCTAGGGCTAATGACAAAGCAATCCCGCACTTACTGCAAGACTCGCTCCAAAACCCAAAAGCAGCGATCAGTGGGGGTGGGGTGGGATCAGTGAGCTGGGAAGGAGAGGAAAGGCAGGCAAGGTCTCTCACCACCACCTCCAGACGGAGGGCTTAGCCAGAGGCCTGCGACCTCGCACCAATCTAGGGCCGACCACCACCCTAAAGGCCCTAACTTCGACCTCGAGAGTCAGAAAACTCCAGGTGCGATACGCATGCGCACTGAACTGCTCCGCACGCCGCAGGACCACCGCCCACCCCCCCGCAGCCACCCAGACTCTCCGAGACAGGCCCCGCGCCGCCTCACGCCAGAACAGGGCCTCAGAACACCGCAGCCGCGGGCGCCTCCACCCAGGCCCCGATGAGGGGCATCACTTGGCTCCCCACCTTCGGGATCACACCTCCCCTCGACTTGCAAGCGCCACAAACCTGCAAACGTTTCTTCTAATCGGGGTGCTGCCGGCGTCCTCCGAACTTGCTTCAGTTTAAGCTCAGCGCCTTCCTGGTTCCAGCGCCAGGCTGCTTCAGCCGAGCTTTCGAGTGCATCGATGGAGGCTGTCAGGCGTTAGGAGTGCCGAGGGAATAGATTGTCACGCCGCCAATTTTTTGTTTGGTGTTGGTTTTGCTTACTTGCTTGCTTATTTGATTTCCTTATAACCAAAAAGCAATAAAGGTGGGGACTGAAGAGTGTTATTGCCTTAGTAATCGTCGTTATCGTCACAGATAATCAGTAAACAAGTCTGCATCGTAGGAAGTTGTGTTTAAAACACCCCCACGTAGCAAAATTGGTTATCTCAAGCTGGGGGAGGAGGAAACTCGCCCAACAATAATAAATCATGGAAGTGTGTCTGTACAGAGTCTTGTGTGATTAAAATGTAATGATTTATTTGCAAAAATGCATTAAAAGTCGGTGTTTCTTCTGCCTTGAAGGTGAAGGCACTCACAGGTTGGGTGCAAATTAATTTCTCACATTAAAGTAACTGGTTAGTAGAGGAGTGGGAGAAGGCTGCCCGAGGCACGGAGACATTTCCTCTGAAAGAGAAATTATTAGGTTTTTGTTGTTATTTACACCAATGGGAATGAAAACGATTCAGCATTTTCTGTAACTCATACTACATTATTTGTCTGTCCTTGCATAAACATCATTTTTTTCCTTATTTACTATAAGTACGCAAAAATATTGAGGTGGAAGAAAAAAGCTGTTGGCCTTGGTTTGGGTTGACCGTGACATCCAATTCATTCACAACTGCTAGATACCCAGACTACAGTTTTCTACAGATATTTGAGATGGTGAAAATCAGCTCTAGAAATATATTTGTCATAAATGACTGTACCTTGAATAATCAGTTTTGAGGGACCATTTTGAAACTTAACTACAACACTACATGTTTATTTTAAATAATTCAAGAACTGGGGGTACCCTTGGGGTCCTAAATTTTATTGGAACTTGTATATCTGTCTGCAGGCTGTCAACTGAGCTTTACTATCTTTTTTTTTTTTTTTTTACCAAAACCGTACTTTGAAATATCCTGTTTCTAGAAAACGTTTACTATTTAATGAAACAACATAATTAGAACTTCATGAGCATTTATTAGCACATGATTTCAAAACCTTGTTGTTGTTGCTGTTTTTAACCTAGATTTCCCTTAGGCCAGTGGAACCCGTAGTCAGACACAGCAAATCTCTCATAACTCCATCTAATATCAACACCACTATTCCTAAATATACAAAGAGCCAATGTGCCAGGAAATTTTATCTGGTGTGAATCACTACGATTGTCTAAACCTTTCCTGATTACCTTTAAAGCGGTAATCTTTCCCTCAAGCCCAGTAGATGGAATTTGATATCGGACTTCGAAGTCATGGCAAAAAAGTAGCTGGTGAGTCTCTTGATTCCTTACTGGACTTCTGAAGTGGTTATTTTGGAGCTATTTGTGAAAGTACTTAACACCTCAGTTTGATAGCTCTTTCTGGTCATTCTGCTAAGGCACCTTAAAAACAGATTTCCATAAAAGATTAAAGTTCTATGTTTAGTCCCCTCTGGTAAAATCAAAATTAAAGCAGTTACAAATAGCAACCTCAGATAAAGTAAAATCATGTTCCTAAATTCATATAACTTTGGAAAGTGTGAGTTTTGGGTGAATTTACCCTCTTCTGCAGGGTAAATAAAATAAAGCACTCATAACTCATTATATCTAAAAGCTATTGCACTGGAAATGTAAAGATTTTAATTATTTCTCCTAAAAGTAACAATAAGTGAAATGTTTTAAGAACAAAAGATAACTTCAGAAATAAAGAGAAAAAAGGCAAAGTAATATTTCTTAAAAGTGTGATTTCCATATTAAGTTTGCCAAATGTGAACATTTTAATCTAAAGAGTAGTGTAGTATAACAGTTATGAACAGCCTCTTTACACTAATATATTAAGTTTTAATTGTGTTCTTTTACAAGTGTTTCAGATATTTTTGATGGAACTTTTCAAATTATTTGTTAACTTAGTGCTGATGCCTTAAACAATGGGTGAAAAATATACATATCAAAGTTATGTAATTGCTTTTATTTTTACTGAGTAGTATATCCAAGAAAATGAACAAGTTACCTTCGATGAACAGTTAGCCCGTGTTAACATTCAGATTACTTGAAAATGTCCCAAAGATACACTTGAAGAGGTAATTTGTTTACACACTCAAATAATATAACTTTCCATATGTAAATATTCTTCTGTGAGATACATATGTGGCCACACTTCTCACAGCAAGCTGCACAATACAGAGAAATGACTCAGGAATATAGACATTTATTCTACATAACTGTTTCGATTAAAATAGTCCAGGCAGAGACTGAGAGTCTTTTCTCCCCAAGAGCATCTCTTTTTGAATAGTACACAATAAATAAAATTAAAAGAGGCACATACTTAACCCCGATTTTTTTTCAAACTCAAAAAGGAATAATCACTTGCTTTCAAAATCAGGAAATCAACTATAGAATGTTTCCCGGGAGGCTAAAAAAGTGCTCCTGCAGTTCATGTTGGGAGGGGTCGGGATACAGGGAGTTACAAGGGAGATGGGATGAGTGTCCTGAAACCTCAGAGAGGGAACGAAGTCTAACTGTCCTTGATCGGGCGCTAAAGGAAACACTTTAAAATGGCATCTGTCAGGGAACAGCTGCTTGGGAAATGTGTTAAATCGACCGGCCCTATGAGCGGGGCTGTCCGTGGAGGAGTCAGCTTGGGCTCCAGGACGCAATTCGTGGGGTGAATCACAAATCCCCCAGCGCCAAGAGGTTGGTGAAGACCCAGGCTCAGCGCCGGCTGCGGGCCGAGAAGCTTCTAAAGGAGCTGCAGAGGACCCTGACTCTGGGCAGATCGTGAAGCCAGGATGCCGGGCTGTGAGGCGTAGGTAGCGTGAGGCTGGCAGCGGGAACCAGAATTGCAATACCGGGTCAGGATGCAGCACCGGGTTGCGGGGCGCCTGCCGCAGGCTAGGGACGCCGGGCAGCTATGCGGCCCGGAGCAGCTCCGCGGCCCCCTGACGCGGGCAGAAGATGTGGGATCTGCCGCGGAGTCGGGATACCGGACTCACTCCGGCAGCCGCGCACTTGTCAGTTTCCTTTTGGCCACGCCCCGGCGGAGTAGGTCCAGCTCCCCGGTGTTTAACTAAGTCTTGACACCAACGCAAAATCCACGCCTAATTAAATTAATTAGGGATTCTTGTCAATCTAGGATTAATGGCCAAGTGCGCAGGCGGCCGAGGCTATCTGAAAACCCGGACGGTCTGGGACCTGCCTCCTCTTCCCGCCCCCTCTCGGCCCCCTTCGCTGCCTGCCCTCCCACTCCAGACTCAGATTGCTCTGACTGTGGCTTAATCAATCTCCATCTCTCTCCCTCTTTCTTTCTTTCTCTCTCTTTCTCTCTCTTTCTTTCTCTCTCTCTGTCTCTCCCCCCCCCTCTCTCTACCCCCTCCCCTCTCCCCTCTCCTTCTCGCTCTCTCCCCCTAACCCCTACTTCTCCACCCCCGCCTCCAGGTAGCGTCGCGGGTGCTCCCCGGGAAGGGGCTCCCTCCGAGTTGCGAAGGGAGGTAATTTACTCAGAACAAGGGGCGGCCTTGGCGAAGTATAAATAGTGAGACTTCAAGCGCAGCGTTGCTATCAGATCTGAACTCCCGGCAGAAAGAATTGTCAAAGATCTTAACAGTGGACAAGCGCGCTCCGGCGGGGAAGCATCCGTTCATATTTCCCTCGGCCGGCCCCCGCCCCTTCCCTCTTCCTCCTCCTCCTCCTCCTCCTCCCCTTCCCCCCCACTCTTCCTCCTCCTCCTCTTCTTACTTCTTTTTCTCCCTCTACTTCTCTTTCTTCTTCCTTCTCTTCTTTTTCTTCTTTCTTCCTCCTCCTCCCTCTCCACCCCCACCCCCTGCCCCATTGATGTGTTATTATTGGGGGGGCTGGAGCAGTAAAAAAAGAAGAAGGAAAAAAAGAGCGGGGCTCGGCTGCGAGAGGTTGAGCGCGGGGCTGACGGGCATCGGCGGCGATGGAAGAACTTACGGCGTTCGTCTCCAAGTCTTTTGACCAGAAAGTGAAGGAGAAGAAAGAAGCGATCACCTACCGGGAGGTGCTCGAGAGCGGGCCGCTGCGCGGGGCCAAGGATCCGGCCGGCGGCGCGGAGCCGGGCCGCGACGACCGCAGCAGCCCGGCAGTCCGGGCGGCCGGCGGAGGCGGCGGCGCAGGAGGAGGCGGAGGCGGAGGAGGCGGAGGAGGTGCAGGAGGAGGAGGAGGAGCGGGCGGAGGAGCTGGAGGAGGGCGCTCTCCCGTCCGGGAGCTGGACATGGGCGCCGCCGAGAGGAGCAGGGAGCCGGGCAGCCCGAGGCTCACCGAGGGTAACGGCCTGACCCCCGGCCCCGGTTCCCCTTCCCGCCTTCCCGACTCCTTTTAGGCGGGAGAGGACCCCGAGGCCCCGCGGGGTGGGTGGCGGGGCGCGGAGAGGGCCCCTGGACCCCAGTTTGGGAGCTGGAGTTGTGATGGAGGGGTGGGTGTCCGGTGGTGTGCGTGGTCGTGGGTGGGGTCCGAGTGTCTGTGGGGAGGGGGTGTGTGGGTTTGTGCGCGCCCTTCTCAGATGCTCCTGCTATTCCCATTCCACCGAAAAGCATTTTTCACCGGCGAGAGGATGGGGCCTCAGCCCAGACGGCCCGAGGGCGGCTGGGGAAGTTCGCTGGCCCGGAGGCGGGCAGGGATACTGGCCGCTGCTGGGCCAGGCGGCGGGATTACGATTAGCATCTAGCGCGGAGTTTGCGGGAAACCCCTTTTGTAGGCCTGAGAAAGAGAGAGAGAAAATGTCACCCTCGGGTCGCCTCTGGGTTTCGGGCAGCCTCTAAGAACGACGAGAACTCCGCGGAAGACTCTGGATTACTGGATTTTAGGGGCCAAACTCCCCATTCTCTTTGAGCTGTGAAGGTAGAACGAGGTCAAAGCAGGCAAAGGTCCAGCGTATGTTGTTTATTTTGGGAGACGTGTTAGGCTTCTCGTTTGGGGGGGGGGGGTAGTATTTACACAATTCCGTCACTGCTTCGCATCATTCAGTACTCTGGTTTTGTGCAGGGCGGCGGGTGTGTGTGGGGGGGGCGGAATCCTCTGGTGCCAGCAAAGTGTTAGGAAATGGCTTTATCTAAATGGTGGAGCGTACTGTACCAATTCAAAGGAGTTCAACAATAAAATTAATTTGGCACTTGGTCCCCGCAGTAACTGGTGTGCTGCCATATTTTTCCAATTAAGGAAATATGTGACATGCGTAGAATCACATATTTAAGCAAGCAATTAAGTTGTTTATAACACGGTCTGTTCCTGTTTAGGCCAATAAGTGGAATTTGGGGGCAAAATAAAGGTTATATTAAGTCTATTAACCAGCTGGAAATGTGGACATCTTTCTCTTTGAAGTCCTAAAAGTTTGAGAGGTATCCATTGTGGATGACACAAAATAGAGCCTTCTCATCACTTTGGCAGATTCTGAAGAGTGTGTTTTCATATTTAAATTTCATTGCACTATTAGTGGAAAATATTTTCTTACTAACTTGGCTACGAATATTTACTATAATGTTATCCACTTCTTTCGGGGAGGAAGGACATACGTCCACAAAAAAACGAACTCTGAGAAATAGAAATGCTGGCATCACTTGAAATCACCATAGTGAGAATGGCAGGCTGAGCTGAGATCTAGAAGCTCTTCTTCCCCAAGACCCGGTACCAGGTCCCCCTAAATTTGGAAAGTGTTGGTATAGTGGTCTGGGGGCTCAGTGCAACCTCTTGAAGCCTCAGTGGAGCTGCAGCTCCAGGCCCTGGGTATACCAGCGAGCGAGGCCACCAAGTTAGGGTCTGAACCCAGGGTACACGAAGTCCTAAGATTGTTAATTTCCAAGCTCAGGACAAGTATTAATTCCTCTGCAGGCCAGCTCTTCCAGAAATGATTTTTAACACCCATGCTGATCAGGAACTGGCCTGGGAAAAACTGCAAACAGCCTCGACTACCCAAACTCAGCTTTGACACTTTAAAAACCCAAATCTCCGACCCAGGCGCAAAGAATGAAGGTTCCAGAGGGCAGCTTATGTTAATACAGTTCCCCATATCACTGCCTCTTGGCATATATATATATATATATATACCCGTCCCTCGGGTGTCTCTGTATGCTCACATTTGCAGAGCTTCTGTTTTGAAAAGAGAGGAGAGGAAGGACAGGAAAGTAGCAACGGATGTGTGCAAACCCAGAGCAGAAAAATGCATATTTTATTAAACATCCGAGCTGGTGGATGCATGAAAAGGCTTTGAGTAACCAATAGAAACCGAGGATCGCGAATGTTCCTGTTGAACCTGTTGATCTCTGTGGGTTTAAGCGTTTAGGGTCCAGTCGGCTTTTTCAGTGGGGAGAGACAAGGAGAGGACAGAGGCAGCGGTCCGTTCCTCGGGCCACCAGAGGCTGGTTTTCTGCCTCTCACCCTCTGGCCCAGCGTGGGCTGCGAACCCTCCCGGCTGCCAACATGGCGTGGACGACTGTGCTCAGCGACCCGGTCCGGCAGGGGGACAGGGACTGCCTGGCAGCCCGTGGGCTGTCCGCGAGGTCTGGCCGGCTCCCTGAGTCAGCACCCAACGCCTGGGGATGCGACTCCTAGGAACGAGCAGCACAAGGGTCTTATTCTCCTGCTGCGACCCGACCCTTTGGCTCAAATGTTATCAAATTAGACCAGCAAGTTTGAGAGAGGCAGAGAGCCATCAGCGAACAGAGCTGGCCTGAGAATGGCCCAGCACTCTCTGAATGGCGCAGAGCGTGGCCTCACCGCGCCCTTCTCCCTTCTCGGACAGCATTCGGTGACGGGCGGGGCTCAGCGCTTTTGATTTCTGTGCGTGCATGGGAGAGAGTGAGTGGGCGAGAGGGTGAGTGAATTGGATTTGGTGTTCACAGGGAAGGGCAGGAAACCGTGGGGTGGGTAGTGAGGTGAGCTGAGGCCACAGTTGCATGGGGGATAGGTGGGTGAATGCCCATTTCTCCCATAGGCAGCCACCCAGAGTTGATCTTTGCTTGTCTCCAGGATCCTCTTCTTCCTGACCTGGTGAGGGGACTGGACAGGAACTTCGGGAGGGAGCAGGATCCTCCAACCTTCTTGAGACAAATCTGGTTAAAGGGACTTGTGTTGTTTTTATCTCTGTGTGTGATTGTGTGCACTCGTGGATGTACGGGTGACCCTCTTTATGGTGCCACCTCCAGTGTCCCCGGAGCTGAAGGATCGCAAAGAGGATGCGAAAGGGATGGAGGACGAAGGGCAGACCAAAATCAAGCAGAGGCGAAGTCGAACCAATTTCACCCTGGAACAACTCAATGAGCTGGAGAGGCTTTTTGATGAGACTCACTACCCGGACGCCTTCATGCGTGAGGAACTGAGCCAACGACTGGGGCTGTCAGAGGCCCGAGTGCAGGTACCTGGCTGTGAGGAGGTCCAGGGGCCACGGAGGGAGGAGGGGCACACCTGAGGTGGGTTGGAGAGGCGGCTCTTGGGACACACACCGAGGGTGCAGGTTCAAGGGTCTGGAGTGAGGTGAGAAAGGAAAAGATGCCTTTAATAGAGGTCTTATTTTCCAAAGTAGATCTTAGTCTTAACCTGACCCCCTCCCTTTTTTCCCCATCCCAACATATGTTCCCAGCAGAAGAAAGCTGTGCTGGGCTTGCTCCCAGAGTTTCTATAAACCACACCCCCCTCGCCTCACGATGCCTTTAATGTGGTTTAATCCTAATGGGCCTACTTTTATAAGCCTTAAAAAAAATCCCACAGAAAACGTTTTATCTTTTGGATGCCTTAAAAGTTACAACGAATATTTTGTTCGCTGGAGTTGGGTTTCCTTGAGGGTCTGCTTCAGGGTCTAGGTTTGCCAAGCGGATATGCCAATTAGGTTTATAGATGTACAGACTATAAAGAAAATTAGCAACTGTTAAATGCAGAAATTTACAGTCTGCCGTTAGCAGTCGATCTCAAACTATGTGACACAGCAGAAAACTAAATACATTTTGGTCGTTCTTTGTTCACTCATTTAACCAAGGCAGTGAACCTGAACCTATAGAAACTTGTTTTTAAAACAACCCACAGATTAATGTTGGTATTTTCAAGATCCGACCCCCAGCAAGTACCACACCCGAAGAAGTTGGGATTGGAAGAGTGTTTTTTTTTAATTTTATTTATTTATTTTTATTGGTCATGATGGTGAACCTAATGGCAAAAGTAGGTTTTGGCAGTGGTTAAGGTGAAAATTTATATGCATACATGCATACATATTCTAGGTTTATAGAGAACAAATTTAAATGTTTCAGATTGTATTTCCTCTCAAATAATAAAATAGGAGAAAATGATGGTCATTATTTGTTTGAACACATGGAGCAGTTTTAGGCCTGAACATCTGCAGCTGTTACAAAGTATCACTGTAACAGATACTCCCTGGGTCTCTGGGCGCAGAGACCACCATCTGCAGCGAACTATGCAATTCTTATGGGGCTTCCCCGCATCTTGTAATAGGATCAGGACAAAAACAGAGCAGTGGAGTTGAAGGGGAACAGTAATAATAGGCTGCCTTGGTCATCACAGCATCAACAGTGGAGCCTTCCTTTTTAAGCCTCTCCTGCTTTGCTTTGTGTATTGAGATCTCTAGAGGCTCAGCAACCCCTTAAAGACATGATGATAATTATTACAGTTATGAGCATTAGTATCTCAGTTCCAACTCTAGTAGGGAAAAAAAGAGGCAAGAAGCCTCAGGCCATGTGAGTTACACAAAGGATGCCACCCTGGCATGAAATCTACCCTCCTATTACACTAAATGGCAGGGGAATTTTTGAAGATTTACATTGACTGTGACACTTCCTTTTAAAAACAAGACAAAGCTCAGAAGCAATATTTTACTTTCATGGTTTTTAAACATTAATTTGTCTATCAGTCATTATGCTGTATTAGTAAAAAAACAAGCTGCACTTGAATTTTTAAAAACCTGTCATATTACCTCTAAAAGTTGGCAAGTTTATTTAAGGAAGTAATATCTGGGAGAAAATAGTATCCAGGAGTTACTTGTTTCATACCCCACCCCACTCCCCTTTCATAGAATATTCTTATTTTTTATCATAAGAAGTGAATTTTAGTGCTGGTCTTTATTTTTTGAGCTATTTTCTGGGTGCTTCTCTACTACCCTAACTGCAAGAATAGGCTATTTCTATAGAAGCAAATTAGATTATCATGATAATAGCACAATTATTCTGCTACTGTGCTGCACTCTATTGCACAGAGGAACAGAGAAATCCTAAACTTCTTTGTAGTGAGGCTTTTATGACACTAATTACCGCTTCCCTCACTTTTATCCCCCTCCCCGAGCCCCCAGGAAAAAAAGAGTCACTATTTGCTTTGGTGTTTGGTTTTTCTTGAAGATGAAGCTAATTAATATAACAGGCTATTAATGAGCATATTCGTCTCAGGTCTTACTGGGCAAACATCTAAACTCATTATCACTTTGGTATCAGGTATCAGCGAGAGTTTTAGGCCTTGGGAACTCTGTAATGTGGAAAGATGAAACCAGAACTAATAGCAGTGTATCAAGAAACCATTTATCTTGCAAAAGTCTATGAAATTTATTTTTGTCATTCATTTACATTTTTAACATCGGAAATTGAGATTGTTCTATGAATTCAAAGGTTGCTTGCCACATCTTCTCATTCATGCCTAAAACACTACTCTTTTTTAATCATACTCTTGTAATTTTTTTAAAAAATTTGAGTCATAACATCTAGGTTTTATATTTTCCCTCCAATTTTTAGGTTTGGTTCCAAAATCGAAGAGCTAAATGTAGAAAACAAGAAAATCAACTCCATAAAGGTATGCTTCTCAGACAAAGAACATTTGCTACTCTGAGTAAAAAGAGAATGGGAAATATTGATATTATAAATGCAGAAAAATCTCCCCAAAGACAACCATGGTCCTTACTTAAAAATTTGCTCCAAAGGCAGTTAATGAGAGTCCTAAAGTTTGGGAGTAAATTACATTTATTTTAATTATGGCAGTAGTTTAGGAAGTTAACTGTTCATTTCCTAAGAAATTAGTTCTATCTTGGTATCATTTGGAACCCTGGAAAACAATGCTAAAAATATTAATCTCACATCATTGTGTTTTGTTTTCCCCATTTTTTTATAGGAGTCCTTATAGGGGCAGCCAGCCAGTTTGAAGCTTGTAGAGTTGCACCCTATGTCAATGTAGGTGCTTTAAGGATGCCATTTCAGCAGGCAAGTACAGCCCAGTTTCAGCTTGTTCTTAACTGTAAAAAGACCTGGAGGTTTGCTTGAACTATTGAACATCCCCTCTCTCTAAGCCCCAGTGTTGGTGTCCATGCAGTTGGAGAATCAATTTTGAGATGATATAGTGGACCTACTCCCCTTTAAAAACCTATCGAGTGTCAGGGGCCCATATGTTTAGTTCTTTCTGTCCTCATGGGAAACCCACAGAGGCCTGAGGGCAGTAACCAGTCCTTTAAAAATGCAGTAAAGATTGAGCTTGGGGAGAGGAAGGCAAAAGCCTTCTGATTAAGATTTTGTCAGATCCAATTCAGAGGTTAGTCCTGAGGTGTTTCTAAGGCAATTCTCTAAATATTTTTCTAGGTATTTTCTACCTCTTAGTTTCATTAACTGTGTCTGACAGAAGAAAAAGAAATAAATAAAAGTACTCCCAACTCAGACTTGATTTTTTAAAGCTGTCTGCAAACAAAGCTTCATGTCTAGTTGAGAAGGAAGCCTTGCCTTGGTCTTCCCAGGGATGCCCTGCCTCTGCAATGCCTTTCTTAGCCATAAAGAAACCTTTAAGACTACATTTAAAAGGACAGCCTGCAGCAATGATTTAATCCTGGGAAATCCCAGTGCTCTGAACTCCCTGCTCTCCAAGCCTAAGGGCACAATCCCTTCCCAACCAGTGTCTGACCTACCTCATCCTCAGCCAGGACCCCTGCATGGCAGACTGTGAAGTCATGAATCAGCTTTCAGTTACCAGTGCCTGGACTGAGGAGACACATGGGTGCGCCAGTGTATTGAGGGTTAGTGTTGGGGGGATCTTAGCTTTCTTGGCACCACAGGACTCGGGTATCTTGACACTAGGCTTTTGAAGCTTGAAAGAATGATTGGAGAGAGGGGAGGGGAATCTTAAAAGGAGACCCTTACTTCTCAGAAGGTGATCTGCAGGTATGCATCATCAGCAACACCTGGAAGATTGGTAGAAATTGAGAATCTCAGGCCCCAACCTAGGCCTTTTGGACTGGAATCTGCATTTAAACAAGATCCCCAGATAATTCTTATAGCAGTACAGGTTAGAAGTAGTAGCAATTGTGTTTATTGTGATGAAGATTCAGTAATTTCCCTAAGTGACATGCAGAGTTTTGTGGTTTGCTCGTTGCCACTTCAGGGCTTTAGCAGTGAGGTAAGATGTGTATGGCAACAATAAGAGAGGAGGGTAACAGGGCCTCACCCCATTTTGCCAGTACACCAGTGTTATTGGGGAGGGTGATGTTTTAGCACAGTAGCAATGTCGCCCTCTGATGGGCCCAGCCCCGGAAGGGACAGCCACATTCCTGCAGTTGCTGTCCCCTGGGCCCAGAGAGATAAGCCGCCCTGAGTTTGGGAGACTCAGGGGCACTGGAGTATCCCTGTAGTGCCCCAGATTCAGTAAGAGACTGAGCTCAGCCAAATGCCCCTTTCCCGTCCCCCGCCCCAGCCTTCCCCTGAGCCAAGCTGGACTCCGTTAATGCTTTGTTTCTATTCTGTTGTCACCCTAGGATAGTCATTGCAACGTGACGCCCTTGTCCTTTCAGGTTCAGGCGCAGCTGCAGCTGGACAGCGCCGTAGCGCACGCGCACCACCACCTGCACCCGCACCTGGCCGCGCACGCGCCCTACATGATGTTCCCGGCGCCGCCCTTCGGACTGCCGCTGGCCACGCTGGCCGCGGACTCGGCCTCCGCCGCCTCCGTTGTGGCTGCCGCTGCCGCTGCCAAGACTACCAGCAAGAACTCCAGCATTGCGGATCTCAGACTGAAAGCCAAAAAGCACGCGGCCGCCCTGGGTCTGTGACGCCAGCGCCCACGTTGCGCCTCCAGCGCGCGTGCAGAATGCGCGACCTCTGCGCCCCACTGCTTCTCCGTCACCCCCTCCACACCTCGGAGCCCAGCCTCTTTCCGCTTGGCTGATCGCCCCTTGCCCGCTTCAGCATCTCGGACTCCCCTCGAATTCGGAGGGCAGGACTCTGCGCAGGACCTGCGATGCCATAAGGCACACCGACTTGGTGGCTCCTGACCATTCACCTACTCAAGGGCCTAGGATTCAGCTTTGTAGGGCCGGTTTTGGAAAGTCCGGAGATTGGACGAGGGAGTGGCGGAACGGCGGAGTGTGGCTAGTGGCAAAGACGCAAGGATGGACTCTTGCGTAGAAATAAAAATCCTGTTAATAAAAAAGGAGGGGAAAAAAGCTGAAAAGACAAACAGAAAAAGAAAGGGAACTTATTTCTTACTGCTATTTGAAAGAGGCTGAAATCGGAGAGAGAACCAAGGAACAAAAAGATTTAAAAATTAAAATATTTTATACATTTAAAAATATGGAAAAATAACCTGGATGCATCTCGAGAGAAGAGGGGTTGGGGAGTTACCAACTTAAAGTGTATGTCTCTCTCCCCCCAAATGGGCTAAGAAAGCAAAACAGAAGGAAGAGGTATACTTATTTAAAGAGTTAAGATTTAAAAAAAAGTGCGGAGCTGGGAAATTCACAGGTTTTGAAACTGACCTTTTTCTGCGAAGTTCACTTTAATACGAGAAATTTGATAAGAGAGGCGGGCCTCCTTTTACGTTGAATCAGATGCTTTGAGTTTAAAACCACCACGAATGGAAGAGCAAGAAGAGGGAAGAGAGTATAAAAACAAGAAGAAAAAATGATAATACAAAAATGATACCACAGACTGATTTCTCTGAGAAATTCTTATGGCAGAACTGTCCAGACTGCTGGCAGTAAATTCCGGTTTGCATGTTACTTGTATTCCATTGATGGTGTCTCCCCCCTTCCCTGCTTTACGCACATGTACTTACTTCATTTTCATCTTCAGTATGAAAACCAATACCAAAAGCGTCTAAAAATTGATGTATATCTATCTACATATATATTTTTGCCCCGTCTTTGATCCTGGGGGACAAAAGAAAAAAGTCGGAAGGGAAAAACTTTACACTTTGATTGTCCCAAGAAAACGGAGGCGGGCAGAAAATGTGGGGAAAGGAAAAGTAAAACAAGAAGACTAAATGAAATAACGAAGGTACAACGCCTCGCAAGGTGCCTGACACAGAGCAGGCGCTCAGTAATAGTCCCCTCCCCTCCCCCTTTTCTTGTATACCCTCTTGCTGGTTACCTGAAGTCCTGTTTGAGGACCATGCTTTATTTCCCCCTCTCTATCCTGTCACACTCACCTTAAAGAACACCCAGCTAGATACAGGCACTAGGTTTGTGTAAAATATGTTGATACACACGAACAAAGTTTATTTTGGCTATAATGTGTGAACTAATGGTTGACTTTCAACATTTGCATTTTATCTCACAAAGGTGTATATTAAAGTAATTTTTTGTTTGCTTCAATTCATGTAGCTGTTTAAAATGGGGTACCTTGGACTAAGCAATCTGTATCCCAATTCTCTAGAAAGCCTCCTTAGTTTTTTTTTTTTCCTTCTAATTTACAAGAAAGAGGAAAAGCTCTTTTAACTGAACTTGGTTATGCGGTTGAGCTTTGTAACTATTTGTTCTCCATGAAAACAAATTATTTATATTTGCCATATTTTTTCTAGTGTATTAAGTTATTTTAAACAAAAGAAGATGCTGTTATTTCATGACGTGTTGTTGGTACAAAATGTTTCAGTTTCACCTCTGTTAAACCTTTTAAATAAGTGCCAAGTTATTAATTGAAGACACTTTGCGATCAATTGAATGAAAATAGTATTGTTTCATTTGATGGGGTTCGCGTCATCTTCGTTCCTGTTACTATTAAACTATCCGGGATAGTCCTTCCTTCTTCCTTTTTGATGACTGTGTATCTGTCGATTATACCAATTTGGAAAAGCGTTTGCTTTTGCTCCTACATGCCGCAATTAAGGGGCCATGAGAACAGTGCGTCTGTGGCTTTATAAAGCGCTGAACGGAACTCCCCTCTCCCCCATTTTATCCATCCAGCGTAGAAACAGGATTGATTTTCACAGCAAATCAATAAAGGAACAGATAGTATGTAAAATAGGATAGAATAATCCCCTTCCCCAAGATGAACTCTCGTTCTTCATTTTGCTGCACGTTGACCTCTAAAGTTTATTTAGCGGATACTTTGGGTAGGTAGCGAAGCGAAATCACGGGGCGCGAAATTCACCTGGGTTAACTGTGGCGTAATAAGACAGTCTCCAGGTCGCCGACCTCCCCCGGAGTCGCGCAGGAGGCGATACTTTGGCAGTGGAGTAAGAGCCGCGGAGTGGGGCCGAGGCACTGGGAAGCACTGATCCCCCACCCCCTACCACAGTTTAGCTCTTGGACCGACGCAGCTTCTTCTTTTGGTTAAATTTAGGAAATGGTAGAAGCCAAGACCAGGACCGTGATCAGGAAAAGTCGGGTTTTAGCCATTCTCAGAACACCGAAGAGCCCTTCCCTCCGTCCTCCTCTTGGCCCCCTCCCCCAGAAGAAGCCCTTCTAGTAAAGCCCAAAGGCGCTGCCGCTTTGGGGGTAGGTAAGAGTCTGTGACGACTCGGCACTGGCCAGGCACGGGACAGGAACCTCCCTTCCCGCGGGCCCTTGGAATGGCAGACACTCTTCGCGAAGACTGAGGGTGTCTCAAGTGTCCCCTAGGGCCCTCTTTGGGCCGCAGGATGCGTAGAGGACGCCCCCTACAACCCCTGACATAACTCCACGTCCTCAGGCCGCGCTCCCGCAGCCCCCACCCGGCCCTCTCCCGGATTAAGGTCACCCTTAAAGCTGTTCCTCGGCGTAGATGTGAGTGATAATTTATGTTTTTGCTTTCAAAGATCATTGACCGGGCCTTGGTACGTATTCAGCGCTCGGGCCTTGCGGGTCTCCCAGCAGTCGAGCGTCCAAGGTTTTCAGAATAAACATCTGCCTGGAGGCGGGGTGCGCTTTGGAGCGGCCGCGCCGATCCGCCAGCCGGGGCCCGGTGGCCGCCGGCGAACTCCCATGCGCGCTCCTGGCCGGGGTCCGAACCCCAAGGCTCCAGGTCCAACGCTAAGTCAGGCCCCGAGGAGGCATCGCACTTTCCCCGGGCACTCCGCGGGAGGTCGGAGGTCACGGGAGAGCTCAGGGCTGGGAGTTGAAGGTTCTGTTCCGGACCCGGCCTCGGGCGCGGCGGACGCTGAGCCCAGCCCGTCCTGCAGCTGAGCTCCGGGGAAGCCTAAGGTCACGGGAGGCAGCGCGTCGGGGCCCGGGCCGGCGGCGAAGAGCGGGGCCCTAAGAAGGGGGTGCGGCCGCGCGGCCTGGGTCAGCCTGGAAGTTCCCGGCGGCGGGAGGCTGATGGGCCGGGCCGGGAGAGCCGTTGGTTCCGGCCTCGGCGGGGGCGCCGAAACCCTAGGAACCGGCTGGCGCAGCCGAGGCGGAGGAGAAAGGCCAAAGTTTCTTGGCCGGGTCCACGGAACTTGAGCGCGGCGCGGACTGTGGGACCCGAGCGTCGGGGGCGCTCGTGGCGGCCTCGCCTCCTTCGGCGGCAGCTCTGCGGAGCCTCGGCGGGGGCCGAGGCTGCCTTTCCGGGCTGGACCGGGCCCCTCGGGTTCAGACTCCCACACACCAGCAGACAGGGTGCGTTTTCTGGGGTGTCTCGGCCCAAACTCTCCGACAGGCGCCTGGGTGTTCCAAACCCCGAGTTTCCAGAGCCATCTGAGAAGGGGGCCTAGGAAGTCATAACTTGAAATTTAAATAAGGCCCAACATGCTTGTCGTTTGGGTCGAAACTCAATAATCGTAAAACATATTTAATGAAAACGCGTCCCCCACCCAAAATCTTTCACAGTGTGCAAAGCCTTCTCGAGCTACAGAATCCCTGATTGGGGAAAACTGCGCTAAAAGAAATTATTCAAGACGTTAGTGGTGTTAAGGACCCTATGATGCAAGAGGCCCAGTAAGATCAGAGGCCTCTGCTTGAAGCTGAACTGATAAAAATATATTTTTGAGTTTTTCCTTAGATTTATAACTTTTTAGATCCTCAGATGGTAATACTTTAGTATAATACGATGCTCAAATTTCGAAACTATTTTGATTTCTGAAAAATGCCTTTTTTGGCTTCAGTGACATGGGATCCTGTTATTTTTTTTCACAAATCAGTTTACATCATAAATTGCAAACATTTGCAATAAGATCTCAAGATTGTTTATTTTATGTAACCTCAAGCACTTGACAATGTTAAACACCAGTACAGAAAGTCTGTGAAATCAGTTTAATGTGTGTGAGGGAATTAAAGGATCACTCCTTTTCATCACATAAACAAAGCATTTAAGATTGTTTTGATTGTCAGTCTCCCAATTTTTAAACACTCTTAACAATTGACTATTAATTTTAGAGTCATTCTGTGCAAAAATAATTACTGAAGTTATATCCTGCTTTAATTAAATGTTTCTGGGCAGAATAAAATATTCTACTTTGGGTAATGGGTGTTTGTTTTGTGTTATATTATTTTAGTTCAAATGTAAATAAAGTCTGCAAATTCCAATGGAGGAAAAGGGCCTGAAATGGTTTCTTAATATGCCATTAGAACAGTTAGTCAAAGTGCATTAAAAGAATGTCACAAACCCAGAAATAATAAATATGTCATCCTAATGAGAGTGTTAACTTATGGATAATTTATTCAAAGGTAATTTTTACATTTCACATGGAATCTCTTATATGACCTACTTGAGTACTGTGATGCTTGTTCCTCAAAATCTAATTTATATAGACTTGGATATACATAATTCATAACTTGTGTTGATATATTTATATATACCCCAAATTTTAAACCTTTACAATGTGTTTGCATGTTTACTTGCAAGTTTTGAAGACAACTGAAATAAAAACATACGAAGTGCTAAGCATCGTATTGAAAGCAAGTGCTTTGTGCTATGTGTGAAGAAAAAGTAGTTGAAAATTAAAAATTAAAAAGGATTAGATAATTTTCAAGCTCAGATATAGGTTGAACACTGAAATAGTTCAGACAGGAAACATTCTTATATAAGAAATATGAAAATCTCCAAGAAAGACTTACAGATGTGAGCTTATAACACTTCTGATGCCTCGGCAATCCTTTCATGTCTCTAATTCATGAAACAAAAAATCCTCAAGCCTTGGGGTATTTTGTTTTGGGTATTTTATGTGTCAGTCAAGGTAACCATCGCATATGCCTTCAGTACAGGAAAATTTAGTATAGTACTTACATGGAGTTCTATTGGCATGAGGAAAGATTTTAGAATATAATCAAATAAATCACATAGGGAGGAGTAAACATACTTTTCTCCCCTTGTTGAACAACTGTTTACATGTCCTGAGCAAGGATCTTTGTAGATTCATATTCAGGAAGAGTAGTGCAGGATAAGTTAAGGGCACAGGATCTAGAGCCAGACTTCCTGGATTCAAACGTCACTGCTGACATTTAACAGTCCTGGGATTTGGGGTCAGAAAATCTCTCTTTGCCTCAGTTTCCTTAATGTAAAATGGGAGTAATAATAGCATCTATTTCATGAGGACCTTAGGAGGATTATGTTAATATTGGTGAAGCCCTAAGAACAGTGCCTTGAACCTGAACATATAAAGCCATATCTAATATTTATTTTAATTAAAAGGCCAATAGGCATTAATTCTTGTATTAAAAACTTTCTTTTTAAAAAAATATTTTATTTATTTATTTAGAGAGAGGGGAAAGGAAGGAGGAAGAGAGGGAGAGAAATATCAATGTGTGATTGCCTCTCGTGTGTCCCTTACTGGGGACCGGCCTGCCACCCAGGCATGTGCCCTGACTGGGAATGGAACCAGCGGCTCTTCGGTTCACAGGCCAGCACTCAATCCACTGAGCCACACCAACCAGGGGTGTATTGAAAACTTTAGAAGAAGAAAATAGCAGTGTAAGACAAGGCATAAATACTTCCCTGTCGTGGGCAAGAAGAAAACATTGCCTACTAGTTTGTGATTCTCGCTAAGTGCTTGTATCTC